CAGGAGGATGAAGCAGGTGCCTTTCGGCTGCACTTCGGCTGCCTTCCCCTCGTGTCCCGCATTTCTCCCCACCCCTCCCTCCCTTCAGCATCCCTCTCAGCCGCTCCGCACCCTTCGCCATGCCCTCTCTCCCTCTCGTTTTCCCTCGGGACCCGCCGAGCTGTTGGCCCAATCCTTTGGGCCCTCTCAGAGCCCCAAGGCCACCAGTGGGCCCCGGGGGTTTCACTGAGCTCACGCAGGCACCCGCCGCCTCTTTCACCTTGTACTTTACCCCGGGCTGCTGGGTGTACCCTCGGGATGGGGGAAGGAGGCGTTCCCCAGGTGGCTGCATGGGAAATGTTTTGGTTTGGTTTTGTTGTTCTTCTTGTCATCTTTGAAGTAAGTTGGTTTTGAGAAGGTCGATGTTTTTTCTGTTTGTAGAACTTATACACAACACAGCGTTTCTTCTTTGAATGCAGGTGATTCACCAAACGACCAAAAGAGCCCTGAAGTGGGGCCTGAGAAGAAAAAAGAGAAAAAGTCTGAAGCCTTGAACATCAGAGGTATGGCACAGGTGTATATTGCTAATGTTAAATTAATTTCAAACAATTTGTGGTTTCCATTTCAGATTTAAAAACACACCCACAAATATCGATAAGAAAGGGAGGAGGAGCCCAGGACTCTTCTACGTAATTGGACCCAGTTATCCCTAGCAGAAAGGTTTTGATTGTATGGAATAGCACAAGGCAAGATACTGTCATGCTGATTCAGCTTTGAGTGTGCTCACATTTTGAATTTTACTCTTAGAAGAGTGCAGCTGAACATTTGGAAAGGACACAAACCCTGTTGCACTAGGCTAAGTCATGAGAGGCTTTACAGGAAGGTAACACAGGTAGATATGAGGTGCATCTTTGAGTGTCACTGATGCAGTAGTTGAGCAGTTTTCAACCTTAAAATGCTTTTAGGCAGTAAACAGAAATCCTTCTAAATCTCAAGGTTGATAACTTTCTGTTGTCAGCATAAGGAAAAAGATTCTGAAACTGGTGCTTCAGCATGGTGTTTTTGCAGGTGTGAGCCCATCCCTGTGAGAGTGTGTGAGAGGATTGGCCCTTCCCACACTGTAGTTTGGCAGGCCTCTGGGAATCTGTGGAGTGAAACATAAAGCTACTCCTAGGAATAAATTAGCCATGTATCTCTCCTTGTCTGTGTAGGTGTTTCTATGCATGCACATTTATGTACCTACTCTGAGCCAAAAGCAAATGTCTTTGAAGATATGAAATACAGAGTTTGTCCCCAAGGAAAGGACTGTCAGAAACCTCAATCAGAACAGTAGTTTCAGGTTTCTTACCGTCACTGATCAGCAGCTGATATTCCCTAAAGGTTGTGTGAGTTTGCTTTGCATGAATTCAGCTTGAGAGGTAAATGTCTTGGTCAGGGCTGGGGTTTTATGGTGTGTGTCCATCTTTCAAAAGTGTTTGCAGAGCTACACGAATGCATCTGTAAGGGAAGATGCTTTGGGAGATCAAACCATGGGCTAGAGCCACAACACTTGCTTGAATGTCTAGAAGCTGGTGTCGCTGGATATTATGGCATTATACTGGCAAAGTTATTGGAGCAAGATAAGCAAACTTTCACATTCAGGGATGGAGGAGAGAAGAGTAAGGAACCTACTACTTTAGAGAAAGCCTTGCTTGCCTGAACTATAGTGCTTAGGGATAAAAATGCTGGAAGCTTTCAAAAATGTCTGAAGGATAAAGAATTGTGACAGATATTTTGAGATATGTGTCATCTTTGATACTTAAAAAGAAATTTTTAAGTGTTACTTTAGTACATCACCTTTGCAAAATCTGTTTTTATTGTCTTTATAAGTATTCCTTGAGTCTGTAGTCATAAACATATGTGTCTTTGAAATTCTGATTCAATACATACTTTTCCTTTTAAGTTAGTTACAAGCTGTACTTACTTCATAGTCACTAGGGGTTGTTTTTTTTTTTTTTTTTTTTTTTTTTTTTTTTGTGGAACTGGAGCCTCCAAAAACATGGCTGAACAAAACGGATTGGCAGAGGAAAAGCTTCCTTGATTTTATAACTGGTAGGAACAGGAATCCATAAATTCTGCCTGGCAGGATTCATTATTGTATTGTGAAATTATTCTTTTTACTTCTTAAGCATATGCAGAGTAGTTCAGTTAGACTTAAGAATGCAAGCTGTTGGAAATTGCTACCTATGGTCTTACCATATTGACTTAATTTAGAAAAAATTCATTTTTCATTCCAGTTTATAATCATAGTTTTTGGGATTTGATAGGGAAATGGATACATTTCTGCCTGACTCTAATTCTATGATGCATTACCAGGATATATGTATTAATGATGTTAAGAATGTAAAATAAATATTTTTCCAAATTCTATATTCTCAATTACTAATTCATCAAAATTCTGACATAGTTAGTTTTTTCTTAACTCTAAAGAAGGCTTTCAGAAACATTTTCCTGTTCTTTATAAGCTGTGCTCTCTTGTTAGTTGCCTGGGCAATGCAACTGCATCCTGCCTGTTCCTCTTGTTAGCGCAACAGCTGATAGCCCATGCTGAATCAGGACTATTTGTTAATGAAAAGGAAACACTGCAACACTGTTAGGAGGAGTAAAACCCCGTGGTAGTCTGCCAAATGGGGCAGAACATGCCTGACTCCAGCAGAAAGAGCTGGACTCACCAGGAGCTTGTACTTTCTTATCTGACCCAAGGGATTTGGAGGAACTCCAGAGGTTGTGGCCTTTATTTCTCACACAGATCAAGGTATGTGTACAGAGCTGGCAAGAAACAGCAGCATGGGCAGAGTTCTGGGGCTAATCCAGTATACAGCATCATCCAAACTCTTTGCTGTGTTTTTATGAGTTTTGGGGGAATCTTTTACAGCTTCTCACTTGAAAGCGTATGTGATAGGGTTGTTAAAAAGAGATGGTTCATTCTTCTCTCACAGCCCCAAAGCAAAAAGTATTGAAGAAGAAATTCACTTCATATAGAGAGAGATGTTCTGAATTCAGGCATTGGTTGGAATAAAATCTGAGTCTGAACAGTAAAAACTAACAAAACTGGAGTATGTTTGAGCAGTGATGGGAAAAGGGAAGTTTATGTAAAGTAGTAAGAAGAAGAAAAAGGCACTGCTTGGATTATTGTAAGACTATAGCAGGAAGACTGCTTTGGTCATCATAGTTTAAGGAGTAGCTAAATATGTTACTGTAAGAGCTTGTTTTTTGCCTTTTGTATAAAACCATCTCTATAAGATGTAAAAAGAGGTACCCAGCCTTTCTCTGAGTAGTCCAGGCACTAAACCATGTGACTGACTCTAGAACCAGATTTTGATTTTTGGCAGGTCTGAAGGCTAGTAGTATTGATGGAACAAGGTTTAATTTGACTGGTAATCAAGTTTGATTGAAACATTGGAGTCTGAGGGTATTTGGAGCCAGCTTAGATTTCACTTGGGCAATTTTTCAGATCTCAGCAGTGTCACAGAAACTGGTGGGGGAAGGCAACTGTTACTGGGGGTGGTCTGCAGCTCTCAACTTCCAGGGTAGAATGGATAGATTTAGTCATCATTTTTTAATTTAGATTTAACATGCCAGGATCTGTTAATAATCTTCATGCATTTAAGCAAGCACATTTTGTGTTACCATGGCATTGCAGTTGGACAGCAGTCACTAGCATACCCTACATGCTTAATGATGCATCCCACTCAAACAGCAGTGCTTCAGAGTCAGTATTTCCCTTGCTGTTTATTCCAAAAGCTGTTACTGAATACTTTGTTTATGATATTAATGGCTGGAATATTGCATTCTTCATTTCAAGTGGAACATACTTGAAAAACACAACATTATGCCTCCCCTAGAAAAAAACCCAAAACAGAGCAAAAAACATCAAACCCACCTCACTAATGGAAATTGTGTCATTTGTTTCAGGTGTTCTTTTGCATGTTATGGGAGATGCACTTGGATCTGTGGTTGTGGTAGTTACTGCTACGATCTTCTATGTGCGTCCTCTGGGAAATGCTCCGTGTAATTGGCAGTGCTACATTGATCCAAGCCTGACAATAGCTATGGTGTTCATCATCTTGTCTTCTGCATTCCCACTTATAAAGGAGACCTCAACTATTTTGTTGCAGATGGTCCCCAAAGGTGTTAATATGCAACTATTGAGTAAGTCAAATTTGTTGCTGAAATGCTGTTAATTTTAATGGTGTATTTTAATGCATATGTTATTTGTGGAATGACATGTTTGGATTATTTACTTATAATAGCTCTAAATTCTCAAGAACAGTGAGAAATAGTCACATGCCTGTGTCCTAGCAACATGACTCAAATCTCTCTGGATTAGTTAAAGCATGCATTTTGAGAATGTGGTACTCCAACAATACATCAGACGTACCAGGTCTTGAGCTGTTAATGCTTTGTGTGGGTTATTTATGAAAGAAACAACTTGGAGCTACAATCTTTTATAGCCTTGCAGTGGCTGCTTGCAAAAAGCTTCCAAAACATCTTAGAAATTTCCATTAATGTTGGTTAACTTTGTAGCTCTTAGGTGCTGTTCACACTGGTTAATTGTGGAGTACACTGGTATTCCCTCATGCTCAGGGCTTAAAGAAACCAGAAGATGTGGGGTCTTGATGGAGGAAGTGATGCTGTAGTATTTTCTCTGTGAACAGCTGGTAAATTACCATTAGGAAGCCTGAGGGAGGATGGGTTAATCACCTGGAGGCTGAACTGAAGGCAGCTGGGAGTAGACACATTGTATCAAGTATATATCTTCTAAAATGATAGTTTTACCACTGCTGCTTTTGGGTAGGGTGCTTAGTGAGACAGCTGATAATTAGCCAGTGCCCCGAAGCCCCTAACACCTTTCCCTTGCCTCTTCCAGCTGACAGAATAGCTCGTGTACCAGGGGTCAGCAGCCTCCATGAGGTGCATGTCTGGGAGCTTGCAAGTGGGAAGAACATTGCCACTCTTCATATCAAGTGCCAAGCCCCTTCTGACTACCAAGATGCTGATTACAAAATACGGAAGGTTTTCCACGAGGCAGGAGTCCATTCTGTGACCATCCAGCCCGAGTATGCTGACCACAAGAGCTCACATCTCCTGTGCAACTCGCCCTGCATCTCAAAAGCCTGTGACCCTCACCTGTGCTGCAGCCAGAGGGAGCCCCCCCGGGCTGAAACGAATGGCTACGTGGAGAAAAGTGAAAGCTCCCTTTCTGCACAGCACAAAGACGATGGTTCCAGGAAAAGTGACATTGAAATCCTTATGGAGGACCCAGTGGTAGAGGAGAGTGTGAAAAATGTGAAAAACTGTGACATGTCCGATGACAAATCGCAGTCGGGTAGTACACGATTTTAGGCAATTCGCGCTGCTCTGTGTCATGTTCTCATGGAGCAAACAAATCCTGGCTGGGAAGGGGGGCATCGGTGGTTGTAGCTGAAGCTGGTGAGGCAAAAAGATTTCTGTGCTTTAGCTGTAAACCAAAATACACCTAAACACCCCTTGTACCTTAAATAAGGATTAAGATTTCCACCAAGGCAGTTGCATTCGCGCGATTTCTGCGATGCAGCCTCACCCAGTTCCTTACCAAACTAAGGCTGAATTCCTACTGTTAGAGTGGATGGGGTGTATTGCTCTCTGTCTGCACTGATGTTTGCAGTTCATGGCCAGTAGCACTGGGAAAGAACCTCTGGCCTTTCATGCTGGAGTGAGCTGTTCCTTGAAAGCCCTGTGGCCAGTTAATGATTGTGCTGGGCTGAAGTACTGTATATTTATAAAGCACTTCAGTAGAGATGCTTTACTGATCCTTAAACCCCATTTTTGCATGGACAGTTCATTTTTAACAGTAACAATTCTGGCCAGTGGAATTTGTGAATGAAATTAAGAGTGTCCAAGCGTAAGCACTCAGGAATTTTGACTCGTGTTATTTTCTTGATTGACTCCTGTATTTAAGAACAGAGCAGAAGCTGGTCTTGCTTCTCTACAGGTAATACTGGAGTCCCAACCTAATCACAGATGTGTGCTAAGGAATAGACTGCTTGTCATGAAAACAAATAAGTACCTACTAATGTCTGTACTGATTCTAGCAAATGGAAATGCAGGCAGTCATCCAATTAACTTTTATTTTTTACACTGTTGTGATTGTATAACTCAGTCTTTTAAAATTCTTATTATTCTTCCCCTGACAACATGGGTTCCAAGAGCCACAGTCTTATTTCATCATTGTGCAAGATGATTGCATTATCTTTAAAACTGAGTCTGTCATTATTCATGCTGAATAAATAAGCTAATGTGTTTATTACGAACAGTTGAAATTCTGCAATTCTATTATTAAGGCATAATTTAATATTGTATTCATTAAGGAGGCACCTTTCAAGTCTTGTATGCAGTATTATCACTGAAGGGGAGCTTTAAAAAATTAAACCAGGATTTTTTTCCTGGTTTAGTCTCAATCATTTTTTGTTGGCTGGTTTTAAAAGTCTTGATGCCTTGAACCCTACCCTCTGCCCTGGCCCTCCCCCCTGCCCAAAGGTGCATCTCAAAGTGTATTTAGTGAAGCAGCTCACAATCTTTTTGCTGCTTGCTCTTTCTGAAGGTATGCAGAGGTGCTCTAAGGAAAACAAGGTGATGTGCCCTGTTAGCAGTGCTGGATTTCAGTCAGGTGTGTTCCACAGGGGAAACCCACTACTCAGTCCACACTGAGTCTAGTGAGTATGCAGATCAGATCTAGAAGATTCCAAATATATTTTGCTGGCAAAAGCAGCCTTTCAATGTCCTGTGTGGCCTGGACAGGCTATATTTAATCCATTTACTCACAGGGACACATTTGTAAAATCATGGTGCCTTTACCTCAGTGAAACCTTAATAGAAAAGGCAAATTGATTTCCAGCCTGGGCTGGGAAAATACCAGGACCTCCTCCTTGTAAGGATGACTTAAAAGCAGTCAACTCCTTATTAATAAAGATGATTGCAGTAATTCAATGAATATTAAAACACTCAGCGGGATATTTTACTGCTTGGAATGTAGTATTTACTGAAGCAGTGATTTCAGCCTAAATAGAACATTTCCAGAATTATAATTACCCCTTTTAAATAGATTTTGGATGAATTAAGATAATTTATACCATTTCATTGTAAGTTTGTATCATAAAAATTAACTATTTGTTAATATAATTAAGAGCTTGATCCTCCAGCCTCTTTGATTCTGTTTGCAGCAGGAGGATCTTGCTTGGCAATTATTGCAGAAGTTAATGTAAATCAGGAAACCTTGCAAGAGTTGCTCTGTCTTTTAAAAGCATGTTCCAGGAAGTAAGACAGCCATTTTTTCTATTTTTTTTTTTTCCCCTCTTTAGTTTCATCTATGATGATGCTTAGATGTAAATAGCAAATATATTTATCATGTTTTTGAGAACTGGAATAGAAATCTTCCAAAATAACAACAGAGTCTTTTCATAATTATACATAATTATTTGTATCTTAAGTCAGGTAATTTTATATATATGTATATATATATACACACATTTTGTTAAATGGTTGAATGCTGGAATGGCACTATTTACTCTAGGATTAAAGAAAACTAGTGGTGTGAGGTTGGGGCATTTGTCAAAATGGACAATTTTTATTCTTCCGGTGTTAAAACCGTGGCTGTGTATTTTTTAAAAAAATTGAAAGTGTTATAACCTGAAAATACAATGAAATAACATTCTTAAACTTTATTTTCTCTTGTCTGGTTGAATGTACTGTAACTGCTGCCTGTGAATAAATGGGAAAATACCAGGGATTATAGAAATCTTCATAGATTTTGACAGATAATAATGACAGATTTTAAATTTGCTTTATTACTTAAGCAAGTAAAACCAACAGTGCTATGTTATTTATGAGATAAACCTTGGTGGTTTTTTTGTTTTTTTTTTTTTGTTGCTGGGGTTTTTTGGGTTTTTTTTGGTGGTTTTTTTTTTTTTTTGTATTGACACTTTGAGGGTATTCAACTAAAGTTTCTGACCAGCATCTTTGCCTTCCTTTGAGTAACAAAATATTTTTCTCCTGTACGGTGTGTCCCCTCTCTGCTTCTGTGGGAGACTTCATTCCAATCCGTGTATATTTTGTATTGGCCTATTTCCCTTCAGTTCTTGGAATATCTCTTCTAATTCTGTTGAACCAGGCTTCCCTCATTTTGAGATACAGTATAATCCCATGTTAGCCCAGACTCATGGGCGCTTGTTCTAAATTCAGTTTTGTAGTCTATTGCACTATTATCAACGCTCTGTTCTGGCCTCTTCAGCTGAGTTACTTTGTTTCCCTCCCTGACAAATGCAGATTGATTGTGCTGCTCTGTCCTCTCCAAGCCCTGCCCTTTGGTTGTCTCTCTTGGTTTTTGGGTTCTCTTGCAATGATTGTCCCTTCTCTCCATTACTGCTGGTGGCAAAGGAAATCTGCTTAAATTATGTGTGACCTTCAACTGGTTGTCCAGCTCCTGTGGATGTGATCCATAGCCAGTCATGTGACCTAGTAGGATGATGACAAAATCTTTGCTAGGCTTGCCAGATCATTTTGCAGTAAAAGTGAAACCTGGAATAACACTGTAAGCAAAAGAAATTTACTGGCCTTCATCAGTCGTGTGCCTTTTCTTAAAGGGAATCAATTCTTTGTCACCTTTTCATACATGCCAATAGTGCCAATTTGTTTTTAAATTTTTTTCTTCTTCTGAAACCCTCTAAATGCAAATGTTGCCTCTACTCTTCATTATAAAGAAAACTGCTACTATTTTCAGGAGTATTGTCTTTGTTTTGTTGGTTTTCTGTTGACTTCCTTTTCCTTGTCTTCTTTACAATACTTACCTTGACTCAAAATGCAAGTGTTTTAATGTTTTTTCTCGTTGTCTCTTCAATAAAAGCAAGATGATTTTGATAGCCTGGTCATGGTGATCTACCAATAATAGTTTAGAAGTACCTTTTTATGCACTGGTTTAATTTTTGCACTCCATTCTATTAAAATACACCCACTTTCTGGTTCTGCCATGTGTCACACCTTACCATTGCAAGCCAGTTTTTGACCCTCTTTATTTGTTCCTATTATTTCCCTCTCCAATTCCTGATTATAATGCTTACTGTCCTGAATACTCCCTTTTATTCTGAACCTTGAAGGGAACATGCCAGCACCTGAATTTTTCCCAAATTGAAGTTCACTACCCAAGTTCTTTGGGTGGCTTGATGTGATCTATTCTGAGGACTATTTCATGTCCTGGGGTCTGTGTAGAAGTGTTATCTAAGTAATCATCCTGAGATATGAACACATGTGTTTAGGTATAATTAAATTCTTTATAACCACTCTACCTGAATCAAGTCCTTAAGAAAAGTGGATTTCAAAACTTGGGAAGGTATAATGAAATCAGGAGGGTTCATTGGTCATTCATTAACAGCTTGGGGGAAAGCTTGGTAAAAGACAATTCAAAAGCTGTGAACATTCCTATAAGTTCTACTACTTACTCTGCTGTACAGTGGAAGCACTTTCTACGTTAAATACTTTATTTGAACAGTGATACCTTGATGTCAGGATGTTACTGTGTAAGATTGTTACATCTATGGAGCTGTGTTGCTTAAAAGTTTCCTCCAGTTTTTCTGTTTCTTATGTGATTTAATGTGCCAAAATGTAGTTTCTATAATTGCTGAATCTCACTGTGGTTTTATTAACCATTAGTGAGAATTGACTTAAGGTTTTAGGTACAGCTATATTTTTATCAAAATTAAGTTTGAATGTCTTGTAAATAAAGTGTATTTTTAAATAAAATTTTGTTCTGAGCTTGATGTATGCTAGCAATATGGCGCTTGTGTCTCTGGATAATTTTAAGACTTTATATGAGTGAAATTTGTTCTCATCCTATGAGACCATTAATGTTGCAAATTTTGTATGTATTTAAAGAAAAGGAACACTCAAAAGCTTTTCTTCTGCAAGCTGCCTTACATTTTGCCACATGGAGAAAGTTGAACATGCATATTGTGATTCTTACTCCTGGGTTTTATGACCTGAATGTACATGCTAGGAATGGGAAGAGGCCTAACATTACAAGTTTGGGTGCTGTTTTTGGAACAGCAATCCTGGAGGTGCCCTCAGATGTTTTTAGCACCAATATCAGGTATCTGCTACCTGGTCCCTACCCTGTTGTATCCAATTATCCAGTCGTTCGTATCCCTACTTATTTAGTTAACAATAATCAATAAGGAGGCAGTGGTCATTGTGCTTGGATTTTGGTTTGTTTTTTTTTTTTGTTCTGTGAGTCTGTCTGAGTGGCAGATGCTACATAAATGCTCCATGAGAAATTCAGTTCATGTTTGGCCAATATATTGCCTGTGCTTTTGTATGTGGTTGGTGTTACTCAGCTTGTAGATGATGGACAACTAGTGCTTTGGAAGACAGAACTGAAAAAATTTTAAAGCAATTCCCAACAAAATTAAAATTATATGTAGATTCATGGATTGTTAAGGGGTTGGAGTAGACCTTAAACATTAATTAGTCCTACTCCTGACATGTGCAGGGATACCTCCCAGTAAACCAGGTTGCTCAAGGCCTTACCTAACCTGGTCTCAAACTCCAGGGCTGAGGCATCCTTAAACTCCCTGGGCAACCTGTTTTAGTGTTTAATCACCCTCACAGTAAAGGATTTCCTCCTAATATCTAACCTGAATTACCCCTCTTTTGATTTGCACCCATTATTTCTTGTCCTTTCACTGTAGTTTCTGAGGAAGAGTCTCTCTCTGGCTTCCCTGTAGCCCGCTTCAAATGCTGGAAGGCTGCTAAGAGGTCTCTTCAGAACCTTCTCTTTTCCATGATGAACAGCCCCAACATTCTTAGCCTGTCTTCCTAGGCAAGGTGGTCCTGTCCTCCTATCAACTTTGTGGCCTTCTCAGAGTTTCTCCAACAGCTCTGTGTCTTTCTTATGCTGGGGTCACCAGAGCTGGATGCAGCACTCCAAGTAAGGTCTCACCAGTGCAGAGTACAGGGGGAGAATCACCTCCTTCGACCTGCTGGCCACACTGCTTTGGATGCAGCCCAGGATATCTTTTGCTTTCTGGGCTGCAAGTACACTTTGCTAGCTCTTGTTGAATTTTTCATCCACTATCACCTCCAAGTCTTTCTCTATATGGCTTTTCTCAACCACTTCTCTGCCCGAACTGTGAGTGTGTCTGGGATTGCCACGACCCAGGCACAGGACCTTGCGTAGGAACAGTTTCTCTGCTGCACAGACTGACATAAGGCACTTGAAATTCCAGAACTTCTCTACACAGAGGCCTTTATTTTGTATCTCAGTCCTTTTGGAGCAGAAGGTGTCTTTCCACCTCAGAGGGCTGCTACTGTTTTGATACTTTTGTAGTCTCCAAGAAGGCACAGAAACAGGATGAATTTGGGCTGGATGCTTTTAAAAACAGCTTCTAAAGAAATGTCCACAATCTGTATATCTTCTTATGCATTCAGTATTAATTTATGCAAAATATTTATGCATTCAAGTTGTATATTTGCAATTACAGTTTGTTGTTTTTCCATATGTGTTGTTTTAAACTCATAGCTTTCTGTATGGACATTTTAGGTGGCTGCTATGGATTCCCCACTTATGGGTGCATGTCTAAGTGCGGAGGGAAAGTGCTTTCTGATCAGGTGGAAATCTTGTTCTGACCCAAAGCTGCAGTAAGAAGTGAGAAAATAGCAGTGATCACAAATGGGGGATGAAGGGTCAATTAAATTCTCTGGCAAATTTAGAATATATTTGGGGGGAAATTAGTGAATCTTCCAGTTAGGATAAGGTGGAGGTTCAGTAAAACAGAGTAGGAAATGTGCAATGAAATGCCAATGGAAGTTAATGAGGTATTCACCAGGGATGAGCAAGCCTCTATCTCTTCAAGGACACAAGCTTTGCCCTCTGACTTAAATATGGAATTTATTGTTGAGTCCTAGTTGCATTTTACAGGCAGAGAGTTATTTTGCTATAAAATGGTAGCTGGTAAAGCATAATTTTCCAGTGCTTACCATCAACTTTCTAGAGAGCCACTGGAGGTTTGTGGTTGAGTTTGTCTCTGCCAAAGTGACATTGGCTGTCTGATGAGAGAAGCACATATCTTGGTCAATAAAGATAGCAGGCATTTGAGCAACCATGAATTGTTATCAACTACTTGTGTATTTGTCAATTAATTGTACCTGGGGACATTCCCAGGCACAGAGAGCAGGCGGCACACAAAAGCTTGTATCTGTGCTAGGGAGATGCTCTGGGAGAGGGTGGCTCCCTGCTGAGGGCCAGCTCAGATTAAGTCCTTGACTCTGGACTCTGCCTGGGAACGGCTGGGGCAGCAGTAATTTGCGTGGGCTGTGAAATTCTTGAGCACTTTACTAATACAGACGATCATGGTTCATTCCCAGTTTTGGCATAATTTGCAAATATTGATGAGGGCCTTGGCCCCTGAGCTTTCACTTTCCTTTGCAAGGTAGCAGAACCTGCAGGTAGAAAAGGGGACGAGGCTGCTGGTGGTTTCTTGAGCTCTAGGGTGGAAAGATTTCCTGTCTTTCCTCTGCATTAGTGCACAGGGCAAGCTGGGTGGGGAGAGGCTGCCCTGATCAGCAGTGCAGTCAGCAGATAACACTATCACCCCAGCTACTTGCATGACTCTGGAAATGGAAGGTGCAAGGCAAGTGGCACGTTCGATATGGCACTGTCCTTTGCTTTACCTCCTTCCAGTCCAAGCACACTCTTTTTTTTTTTTTTTTCGATGTTCACCCATGTTTAATAAAGCTCTGTGTTTGTTTAACCTTACATTGCTGACCACCCTGTGGTGAGGAGGTAGAAACAAAGCAATGGCAAGAGGCTTCAGGGTACATGTGGGGAAATAACCCAGGGATTACTTTATACAAGTCATTGACATGACATGGTAGGTCCACAGACTAGAGTACAGAAAATTTTGCAAGTAAAGGATTGCATAATTCAAGAGGTAGAAAGCAACCCTTTTTTAAACAAACACCTTAAAAATCAGTCTTGTAAAAAGCATCTGATGTGAATGAGCTGATCCCCCAAGCTATAAACTAGGAAGTACAACAGGCAGTGGGAAATCAGCACAGTGAAAACCATGACATCTTGCAGAGCAGCATTCTCTTTAATTAGCTGTTTCTATTCAGAGTTCCCAGATGAAATAGGAATGGTAGCCTTTCTGCATACCCCAGCTTCTCTTGCCCAAATTGGTCACAGAAAGTGTGTTTTTATGGCTGGGCTTTAAGTGCTCAGCAATGTGCAGGGTCTATGCTGTGACAAAACACCTACCGCACCTAGCAACACAGTACCTTCAGCTGTTTATGCTGGTTGGTGCACGCTTCAAACAATTGCCCCCAAGTGATTTTGGTGACATTGCCAACTGGGGAATACCCTTCTACTCATGAACATCTCTGGTGTGTAATTTCTAGGAGTCCAAGTGTTCACTGAGCCCTATATTTTCTGGTTGTAGCTTGATAACTCATGAGAGGGGGAGAGAATCACAGACTCCGAGGCCTTTGCATGGTGCTCAGAGGAGCTGCTCCCCAGCCCTCACTGAGGAGGAAGAAGCTTCTCCCCAAAAGCCATACCAGCTCTCGGGGAGACCTATGGTGGATCATCTGCTTGGCATGTTTGTGCCTGTGTTGTGGCAAAGGGATGTTGTGCATCTCCCAGGACAACTGGGGATGGGGAAGGATTTGCTCAGAGGCTTTCAGAGAGGGAAGAGTGGGAGGCTGGGGAGCTCCCTCAGTAGCCCCCACAAATCCTGTCCTCTGAGTGCCACCTGTGCTTCCCAGAAAAGTTCCTGAGGCCATCTAGACGTGGTGTAGGCATCTTTCTGCCTCCTACTCCTGATGCTCTTTCCTTGAAGGGAAGTGGCTTACTTGAAAATTTGTTGAGGCTTTTTTACAATTTCCTTTGATTACCATTGTCTCCAGACACAGTGTTTTTCATGTTTGCAGTAGCTCCTCTTTGCCTTCGTCCTTTATTATATGAAATATGAAATCTGATTTTAACCCATCAGCTCCTTACACACAGAATGAGAGCAAGTCCATCTACCCCTAAAAGTAGCACTGGCGCAACTTTTATGCTAATATGCTGGCACTGTGTTTGTGAAAAGAAAGAAACAAAGGCAGAGATCCCAAGGTATAGTCCTTCTAAGAGCTATGAAATCCTACAAATGATGAAATGGATTATGCTTCCTCCTGGTTGTAAGGCAGGGTATTGCTCCTCCAAGAAGGAAACTGATATTTTTGGGTTAGTTGTTGGGCTGGTATGAAGGCTATTCCCAAAGTCTGCCTTTGGCAGACTGAGCATCAATGTCCTTGTGCTTCTTTGCTGGCCCAAGAAGGAAGTGATTTGGCTCCTGATACAGGAATACAGGAGCAAGCTATCTGCTGGCGGAAGCAAGTGGAAGTATGTTGGCTAGAAGGAAGGTCTGGCTATTTTCACCACCTGAAAATCTGTCCCTGTGCTCTGCTGTTCTCCTCGTGGCAGGGAACTGGGCTGCCAGCACAGCAAGGAGGGGTTACACACCAACTCAGCTGTCACCTTAAGGGGGTGAAAATTCATTTTTCTGGCAACAATGGGGATCTCCAGGGACCATGGAGCAGCAAGGCAATCACCCCCTACTCCTGCAGGTTCCTGTATATGTATGTAAATATTATTTCTGGCAGATGCCAAAGGCTTCTGCAAATTATTTTATATTTGCAACCCCAAAGCCCCACTTACATTAAGTTTCCTTCTGAAAGACAAACACTGTCTCTCCAAGCACTTTGTG